CTCTACCTTCTCTCCCGGACTTGGTGGTGACCAGCTCTGTGCGGGCAAAAATGTTCGTTACTTGGTCCCTTATCATTTGAGACTAACGACTCAAGACCCAATCTCCTATGGTATTAGTACTGACAGCCCATGTCTACAGAGAAACCACATGGCCAACAAGAGAAGTGAAGACCCACTGAAATAACTTGAAGCAAACAGAACCTCTGTTAAGTTTCTTCCCTATGAACATCATTCTCATTCCCTGTCCAGGAAGTTTCACCTTAGGATCCTCTTCATCTCACCACACAGACAAAATCTTATATATAAATATCTGAATATATTCAAACAACAAGAGATACCTGTATTGTCTTTCAAAAGACAGCTAATGGAAGAAGGTAGCTACCATTGATAGGATACCAACTATGTGCCCTGCAGGTTAGTTTTTTAATTATCTCATTGAATTCTCAGAGCAACCTTCACTCATTATGTAGTAAGAGAAAAGTGACCTCTCCTGGCCCCAAATGTCCCCACTCCTTCACTGGTAGGCCGGCTTATAAAAATTTCTTTTGATTCAGAATATTGAAACTTTGATTTTCACTATCTTTTACTGCTCTATAATTTTTGATGAATTTTATTTCTTCTTAGCAAACTAAACAAACAAGAAAAAAAACTCTCCTTGGAACAAATATGGCTCTGCCAGAGGTTGTGTTCCTTGCCTGGCAAACTACAATGTTTCTTCTATAAAATAATTCCAAAGCTCCAGTACTTGATGAGATGTGAAAATTGAACTGATGAGACAAAAAAACCTCCCTAAAGGAAATTCCAGTTAAGTAAAGGTTAGGCTCAAAAACAGTGAGTTATGTGGGTAAATTTCCCTGCAAAATCCTGTAGCTGCAGCCACATACACTCCCAGAGGGTAGTACACAGCTGCTAATGGAATCTGTGTGAATTCTAACACAGAGCAGAAGCTCAGGCAACAGAGGTCTGTGTTGGTATGAGAAACAAAAAGGATACAGTTACCTTTTTTATATGTCCCATCTACTCCTTTGCCCATCTTATCCTTGCTGCTCACGTCCCCCTCCATGTAGGGACAGACTCGGGCCTGGTGAGTCCACAGATAGTCATTAGACCCAAAGAAGAGCACAGGAAACTCGCCCACATCATGTCTCATCTTATCAATGTTGGAAGGTACAGCTCGAGGATGGCAGATCTCAGCTGGCCACCACCTGGGAAAGGTGAAAACAAAGATGAAAAACTCAAGAAGACTGCAAGGCACTAGGAAAATAACCTACTTTTAGGACAGGAATAAGAAATAGCAATGTCTGTCTATCCACATTAAAGTCTGACCTTGAACATTCTTACAATCTTACTAGAGAACAAACAAGTAGTATGTGCTGAAAGCCTGAGAACACTCATCCTCATGCACATGGCTTGCATACACAAACATACTCCCTTAGACTCAGTTATTCTACTTCAAGGAATCTATAAAAGGAAATAATTAGAAATATAAACAAAATCTTATGACTAATATTCACTGAAGTACTATCTACAAAAATGAAAACCTAAATGCTCAATACTATGGCACACTATATAATGAAATACAATCTGGGCTTTAAAAAGGAAACTTTCAATAATTATCGGGGAACAGAAAAATGACACCATGAAATGCCCCCCCCCCAATACATAAATTGATACGCCCACCTTAGGAAGACAATTTGGCCTTAGATATTAAAACTGGCAAGTCTTTCCCTGCTCTTCTATCCTGAAAATGCCTTAGAGAAGCCCCTGCACACGTATACCAAGAAACAATTACAGAATGTTCACGGCCCAGACAAGAGAGTCGATGGCTAAAGTACACTAGACCGTATGACTAAAGTGTATGAACTAGAGCTCTGTGCTAACCATAATAAAGCTTGAGAGAATAAATGAATGAAAAAAGCAAGTTGCAGGAAAATATAGCAACAAGGAGCCTTATACAAAGGTCTAAAACATGCAGAACAAAGCATTATACATACTGTAAACCTATATAGTAAGGCAAAGGAATAAAAAACACAAAATGCAGTACAGTGGTAGTTACCTTTGGGGGTGGGGAATTCAGATAGGGGAATGGAAGGAGACTTTCAAAAGGATCAATCAGTAATGCGCCATTTAACTGGGAGGTACATACACAGGCATTCCTTTTGCTAATCTTTAAAATTGTGCACATTTTAATATTCTTTTGTACATTCCATGATCAATAAAAATAATTTTAAGATAAAAAGCAAGACACAAAACTGAGTATAAACTATAAAGCCAATTACTTGAGGATGTGTATATTGGTGTGTCTGTAAGTAAATACGCCAAAATGTTAGCAATATATCTTCTCTGCTTGTAAGCTTATGGGTTAATTTTCATTAATGAAATTTTCCACAGATAATCTGTATTTATTCTTATGATTGCAAAAAAAGTGAGTTTTTCTTTTATAATGGAAAATTAATTGGGGAGAGGCGGGCCTTGCTTTACCAGGGAGATCATTTTTTAAAAAGTTTAACACTGTATATAAAGAGATCTCAAGAAAGAGGATGGTAAATGAAATCAGTGCCAGCTTCCATGCTTACTCACCTGTATCGCCCAACTTTTACCCAGACAATTTCCCTATAATGTGGCTTTTTGCCTGCCTTACAGTCATTGCAATACCAATTTCCTTCAGGGATATCAATGTTCAGGCATTCTCGATGAAAAGCAGCAGGACAAGAATCACAGCACAGAAGGCTGCCTCCTACAAGAATAAAAAAATCTGCCACTCAGAATCACAAGGCTGCATGTAAAGATACAGTTGAAACACCTTTTGCTTACCTCCTAACCAATTATTTACCTCTCGGCCAAGGGCCTAGTAATTTAATTAGTTATTTAGGAAGACTTTCCTGCAAGTGTTCTCTTTCCAATATTCCTGAACCACATCCCTGCAGGTTTGTTAGATTCGCAGCAATAAACATGAGATCTAACTGACAAAATTAGGTTAGGGCAAACCTCTACAAGTCATGTAGTATGTATACACACACATATATACATTTCTTCTACTTCACTAAAAGGTTAACACTCTAAATAAAGGGAGTATCTATGACACCAATGACCAGAGTATAAAGAACACAAGCTTTAACTAATGTTAGATTTGAGCTCTTGGAGAATTCACTTTTCTTGCCGAGATAATTCCATCAATGGTAAGTTGTTTTCTACAATGAACAAGCACATCTGTTTGAGGAATAAACAAGTAAATAAATTGCCTAGTAGTGTCTGACATATAAGCAGTCTCCAGAAGGTCAGTTCCTTCCCTCTTTTTAAATTACTTGTTTTTTAATGGTTTGCACTCTCTTAGTACCTGTGGCCCCTTTCAGAATAACATCTAAAAATGCATAAATGGAATATACAAGATAAAAAAGACACTGCTCAAAATGTTAGAACAAGAGATTACATTATATGCGTTCCTTTGTAATGCATAAATAGTATCTAGCAGTAGTAATGACTGCAGATGATATTTTAAGACATCTACAAGTGCAATATCTGTAATTTTCACTGGTGACAAAAATCACAGATAGTGATAGGGTATGTTGCCTAAATTTTAGTTAGATTTAAGCCAGCCCCCCCCAACCAAGTTTTCAGACACCAGATTTATTATATATACTGCATTAATAATGAATTTTCACTTCTTAAAGATTTTCACTCAAAGTGACTCAACTTACACATATGAATCTGAAATCCTTATGGTTGCAGATAATAATTTCAGGTAAAAAGGATTCATATTTAAGGTATACAATAAATGCCTTATTTATCTTATGCCAGAAATAAGCATGCTTTAAATATGCTAGACTCAAGCATGTAACTCCAAGTTTCACCCTCCAGTTATCTATCACTTCCATCTGTTTATATGCACAGCTCTCTGGAGTGGTATCATTTAATGTTATGCAACGTTTTTTTCTGATGGTGGAACTTTGGGTGATTTTGGGCTGGCGGGAGGGCGGGCGAGCTATCTATCTATCTATTGTTTTACATGTTTTACCTACCAGTTTATTTTTTTCTTCTTTTCTCTAATCAGCTTTGAGATTAGTTTACATGTAATACTGTATAAGTTTAAAGTATACAACATAATGACCTGACTGATATATACTATGAAATGACTACTACAATAAGATTAGGTAAGACATCCAATATATCACAGTTACTTTTTTTTTTTTTTGTGGTGGTGGTGGTGGTGGTGGTGGTGGTGGTGAGAACTTTTAAGGTCTACTCTCTTAGCAACTTTCAAATATACAACACGGTATTGTTAACTACAGTCACCTTGCTGTATATTACATCCCCAAACCTCTTCATTTTATAACTGGAAATTTATACCATCTGACAGCAATCCCCCATTTTCCAAGAGTGATTTTGTTTCCTCTGTCTTCTCTTTTTCTTTACTACTTCAACTGTTTAACATTTTTATAAAAATCAAATCATTATTCAAAATAAAAATAAATCCTCTTCCTACTGGGAAACTAAACCAAGTTTGAAAGTTCTGCTATGTTATCATTAATTTGGGATATCACTTCTCAATATTTCTTGTAGCGGCAATGTGAAGAAAACTTTTTGTTGCAGTTCAAATTTTGTATTAATCTTTTTAGACTATTCATCCATCAGGAAGCCATGTCTTACCTTCTGAGCATACAAAACACCAGCTAACATTAACATGCTCATGATTTCGGCAGCCTCGTCTAGGTGTAAAGTGATTAGGGCATATGATACTATTAGACGCAAGGATCTTTGACCCAGCAGCCAGACAAAAGTCGTTGGCATGGTATGCCACAGGGCAGCGGACACAGCGCATCAGACGACCTAAAAATATGAGAAGCAGGAAAACCAGGGGAGCAAAAGAAAAATAGATTAAACATAAAAATATATGAGTTATTCAAGTCTATTTGCTAGCACTGAGAAAATGTCACAAATAGAATGAAGCACTACTTAGGGAAGGGATCTTAAATACCCAATTCACTGTGAAAAGTTCAGGTGGGAGCAATGTGATATGTCGCCACGAGGAGTCAGATCCCACAACTGTAAGTGAGACTGCACCATAAAGTAAAGCCCTATTCAAACCCCTGCCCTGACTCCTAGGAAGGGGGCTAAGGGTGGGGATGGTGATAGAGATGTGCACAATCAGAATAAAAGGCCAGCTAGGAGGAACACTAATGCTTGCTTTTGTTGTCTGCTACTCTGTGATTCTTAAAGCTTTTCAGGTGAATAAAGCCCTCTACCCCTGCCCAGATGAAATAAATGCTCTAACATACTTCAACTTAAAAACACTGCCAAACCACCTAAATGCAATCTACAACTGAAAAGGGGAAAGTAGCTCATGGTTAAACTGAAATTTGGATCAAGCAAATTACTCAAGACTGAAGAGATCTACAAACAGCGGTCCCCAACCTTTTTGGCACCAGGGACCAGTGTGCCTATGTGAATCTAATGCCTGATGATCTGGGGTGGATCTGAGGCAGTGATGCTAGCGTTGGGGAACAGTTACAAATACAGATGAAACTTTGCTGGCTTGGCCTGCCACTCACCTCCTGCTATGCAGCCCAGTTCCTAACAGGCCATGGACTGGTACCAATCTGCAGCCCAGGGGATGGGGACCCTTGATATACAGGGCCTGGAAATCAACTTACAAAAGGTACTGCCAATCTGATTAAAAGACTAATTAAAAGAAAAGTCTACAATGCTAAGTCTTCCTGTTCAATCCCCTATGGATGAAGTGGGGGCTCTTTGGACACACAGTATTTAACAATAGAGACACATATTTATTTTATTTAGCTTTTAGGAAAATCAGTAAGAAACCCACCATTATTGAACAGAAAGAAATTATTGTTTTCCTAATGGGAACAGATTTAAAAATTTGAGTTCACCTATCTATACCCAGACAGTTTGAGAAACCTCAGCTCTCAATCTAACTATGAAGCAGAAAACAGAGTTCAGAACAGGAGTTTCCATTAAAAAAAATCAACACAAAACAAAAAACACCTCAGTTCAGACCTACATGCATATCTGAATATCACATTTGACAACCACAGATATAAAGAGCACATGGAAGGAAAATACACTTTGGTCTAATGGGGTAAAGGGAGAAAGACATGCATCAGAATACTTTTTCAAACTAACATCTCACATAAAATCCAAATATTTAAAAGTACCATATAACATTAGAGCTCCATAGAATTCAATGCGGTGACTACTTAACTAGTCCATTATTCTCTTTTCTCACATAAAGGTAGAGAGGTCACAGAGACATGCCAGATTGCACAAGGAGATACCCACTGCTATTAAAACTGACATATTAGAATAAGATTGGCCCACGGGAGAAACCCATACCTTTAGACGCAGAAACACTGGCCGGATTAGCAGCATGGCACGTTATGCAGATGTGGAGGGAGCAGCGGAAGCCCTTGTTCTGCATGACAGTGGGCGGATACTTCTGGACACATTCTTCATGGTAAAACTTTCCACACAAGGGCAGAAGGCACCTTTTAACATCTTCCCCACTCTGTTTACATACAAAACAGGTATGGATTCCTGGGAAAGAGAAGATAGCAAATTAATACCAACTGAAGAATTCACCCAGTGCTAAACCATTAGATGAAAAGTTAGTGAGTATATAATTATGCACCAAACATAGGAGTGTAGGGTGTGTTCCTACACCACCAAGCAATTCTCTAACACCATCTGGCTGTAACATCAGATCCCACAGGTTAAGGGCTCAGCCCTACAAGACTGTCTTATCTGCCCCGCCATCCCCCACCCGGTCAAATGCATGTCCAGGTTGTCACCTGTACTGATCAACTGGACATAAAACAGATTCCCACAATCTCCTTCTTGGGTTTGATTCGTTTGCTAGAGCGGCTCGCAGAACTCAGAGAAACATGTTACTTACTAGATGACCAGTTGATTACAAAAGGTTATATAATTCAGGAACAGGGCAAGGTAAAGGGCTCAGAGCTTCCATGTCCTTTCCAAGAAAGCCAATCCCCCAGAAACTCGTGTTCACCAACCTAGAAGCTGTCTGAAGCCCATTCTTTTGGGTTTCGATTGAGGCTTCATTATATTGGCATGACTGGGGACTGATTCAAGCTGCTGCCCCTTTCTCCTCACTTGAGGTCACAGGAGCTGGGATTCGAAACTTAAAAAGTTCCAACCCTACAGGTAACCAGCCCCCATTTTCAGAAGGGTCCAAAAGTCACTTCATTAACATAACACAAACATATAAAGGAGATCTTTATCACTTTTGTCACTTAGGAAATTCCAAGGGTTTCAGGAGCTCTGTGCCAGAAACTACATAGAAAACAAAATATGTATTTCTTATAATAAATCACAATATCACAGTAAAGAACTTTATAATAGACTGACCACGCTGACAACATGAACTCACTGAACAATCTTAACATCACTAAGTGGGAAACTCTGACAATACATGCTTGCTGACATGATGTAGTAGGAAGTACATATCACTCTACCAAAAGAAAACTGACCTGAAACTAACCCAGCCTCTAGATCTCACTACAAGTTTCTAGGAAAATAAGGAAGATAGAGACTAACGTCATAGAGACAGCTTAAGGATGCAATCAACCAAATTTAGAATGTGGAAAACTGGGCAGAACAAATGACCGTTGCCTCAACAAATAAACGACATTAAAAAAATAAGGTAAGGGGGATAGTACTGTTGTCGATTAAGAGAAATTTAAGAGACATTTTGAAAAATACAAAACAGGAATCTTATCTGGATCTTGATTCAAAACACTGTAAAAAAAGACATTTTTGAGACAAGTGGGAAAATTTGACTACGGAACTGAGTAGATGACAAATAGGAGTTACTGTACAATTTTGCTACACATGGAATTTTTTTTTTTTAAGTTGGAAATGTTAGAAAGACCTTTGGAAATAAATAGGTAAAATGACTCAGAAAGAAAGTTGATAAATACGGAAGCTAAGTGATTAATGTATAAAAACTGTTATACTGTTCTACTTTTGTATATGTCTAAAGATTTCCATGATAAAAAGTTTAAGGAAAACTTTTCCTTAAACTCTCTCTCCCTCTCTCTGAGAAGCAATACAATGTTAGTCAAAGAACCCAAGCTTGAGAGACCTGAATGTGAATCCTGCCAATGGCACTTGCTGGAAAACAGGAGCTCATTAAAGCAACACACCTCATCTATAAATAGTGAGATCACCCAACTAATAATAATTTTAGCGAAAATTTTAAATGTGAATTAGAAAGAAGTAAACTATGCCTGATGCTGAATAACTGGCTACCAATATTAATAAATATGGTGTGGGTACCCTACTGTAGGAAAACAGCATAAAGAAATGACTCCCTTTTTCTTACTTTATTCTATTTACTAAATCTAGGGTAAAATTTCCTACCCTCTCTTTACCTCACATCACATACAAAAATTAATTAAAAAGAGATCATAGGCGTAAATGTGACACCTAAAACTATAAAAATTTCAGAAGAAAACAAAGAAAACTTTGTGACCACTGGGTTAAACAAGATGTCTTAGATACGACACCAAAACGAATTGACCAATTGGACTTTATCAGAATTAAACACTTCTGCTCTTCAAAAGATTAAACAACATGCTACAGATTGGGGGAATGATCTGCAAAGTACATATCTGATAAGAGACTTGTATCCAGAATATACATAAAGAACTCTTAAAACTCAGCAAGCAAGAAAATAATCCAATTAAAAAAAAAAAAAAAAAAAAAAAATGGAAACAGACCCCTACCCAAAAAAAAGGGAAAAAAAAAAGATATGAACAGACACCTTACCGAAGAAGATGGCAAATAAGCACATGAAATGCACAATATCATTTGTCATCAGGGAGATGTATATTAAAACCACAATCAGATACCACTGCGTATCTGTAAGAATGGCTAAAATTAAAAAGACCGACAATACCACATCTTGATGAAGATGTGGAAAAGCAGAAACTCTCATACACTGCCGAAGGAAACATAAATGGTACAAACACTTTGGAAAATAATTTGGATGTTTTAAAAGTTAAACATACACCTACCATATGATGCAGCCATTCTACTCTCAGGTATTCACACAAGAGAAAAGACAATGTATCCATACAAAGAACTGAATGTTTGCAGCAGCTTTATCTGAAATAGCCCAACCTGAGATCAACCCGGATGTCCATCAATAGATGAATGGATAAACAAACTGGGGTACATCTATATAATGGACTACTACTCAACAATAATAAGGAATGAACTCTCGATACCTGGAACAATGTTGCTGAATCTCAAAATAACTATGCAGAACGATGGTTTCACAAGTGTGTATACACACACACACACACACACCCACCCACCCAGAACTTATCAAACTACACTTTGTGCAATTTATTATACTATAATTATATCTCAATAAAATTGTTTTAAGAAAGAGAAAAAAACTACTGAAACACACATCAAATAGATGAGTCTCAAAAAACATTATGCTGAGCCAGACTAAAAAAAGACGACATACACTTTGATTCCACTTATACGAAACGCTAAAAAAGAATAAATCTAATGTAAAAGCAGATCATCATTTGCCTGAAACTGGGGAAGGGGGTGGGGGTGGGGGTGGATGAGATGTGTAAGGATTAACCGGGGACTTTCTGGAGTGACAGAAATGTTCAAGTCTTCCTTGTGGTTGTGGTTACATGGGTGTACAAATTTTATCAAAACAAACATTTAACTGGGTACATTTTATAGTAGATAACTGATACTTCAGTAAAGCCTATCTTTTAAAAATAGCTTTGGGAGTCCAGGCAAGATAAGATGGTAGGGTACGTAAAATGCTGTGCTTGCCTCCTTCCATGACTACATTAAACATACAACTAAATTATAGAATAATCAGCCTGAAAAAATGTCTTAAGACCAGCTGAATGGAAGTCCTCTTACCAAGGTTATAAAGAAGCAGCCACATCGAGACTGTCAAAAAGTCACCTAACACTTCCCTCTACATTCAGGATTAAAAAAAAAAAAAAGTAACAATATTTCTTCACTTGTGTCTCTGCAAGTTCAATATATTTTACTTTTACACATTAAAAAAAAAAAAAGCTTTGCCTTAGATAACTTGTCCAGAGACTATCACATCAAAATAAAAATAAGACTAGCAAAACTGGGTCACTGGCACAAAAAGTAAGATCTTTCCAACATTAGGGTAATAGAGAGATGCACATACATAAAATTTTTTTTCTAAATTTCATTTACAGGGTGGATGGTACTATCCCCCATAATGATCAAAAGCCCAATTGTGCAAAAGGCAAAACAAGCCCACCTTGTTTTCCAGCTTTTGTTCCCACATTGATAACAGTGGCAGCAGAAAGATCAAAGAACTCAATCTGACTTGGTCATCTATTTACAGACATGAGTTATTTCTATCTCATATCCCAAAGAAGCTACTCTAAACCTAACGCTCTTCAAGTTAAAAACACCTTTTCCCATCACTCTCATCAAGCCAAGAAAAACTTCTTCAGCTTCCTCCTTTTGCCTCCCAAGTCCATGGAACATTTCCATTTCACCTTTTCATCTCCTCGAGATTATCCCTTCCTGCCTGAGACTGCACTCCACCAATTAATTATTCCCTCGGATCCTGTTAAGTTTTTTTCCTACACAGTTCTTACTACAAACATTCGTTCTACGTCCTACAAACATTCAAGATGTTCTTCCTTTTGACCCTATAATATCCTTCCTTCGGCTACTACCCTTTTCCATTGAAATCACGCTTCTCTAAGAAATAGTATATATGGATACCCATTCACCCTCAGTTGGTTTAGTGTGGCACCCTCTGGCAAAAAAATCAACCATTTTCTCATTGCCAAATATAATAGCCTCTATTCACTCCAGCACCTCTTTGTCCTGTCTCTTTGCCACATCTGCCCCTGCTAATGACACTCCACTCTCACAGCTTCGCAGACATTCTTTGACAAGCGTCTCCTCACCCTCCAGTAGCCCCTTTAAGTGGGTATCCCCAGGTACTAACACTGGCCCTCTTCTCACTTTACAGATGCTTTTTGTGGGGGGCAGGCAACATCATCCACACCCAGTTTTAATGACGTATGAACATAAGATCTATACCTTCAGCCTTCATTTCTTCATTACTTAAATGCTGTAATATCCACATATAATGCTGAGAAAAGAACAATCTCCTTAGCACAGTTTATTAAGTGCTTTACAGGCTGGTCTTATCTGACCGTTTCTCATTTCTGACCCAATCTGTGTTATAACTCTCCCAAAATATCACATTCTTTTTTTGGTAAACAGTTCTATTGACGTATGATATACACACAGGAAAGTACAAACATCCTAAGTGTATGATTCATGAATAATCATGAAATGAACACATTTCTGTAATCACCACTCATATCAAGAAATATAAACCATCACCAGTACCTAGAAGCCCTCCTTATCACTAACCAGTGCCTCTTCCCTAAAATATCGTAAACTCTAAATACACTGATCTATGTTTCCTAGTCCTCAAACATTCTATACTTTCATTACGGGACCTCTCCTTCCCAATTCCACCACAATTTCTATTTCTCTCCTAAAGCTAAATTCAGCTGTCTCCCTCAGGGGTGCTGGCTCATCTTTTTCACAGGGCACTTCAGATGTACTACAACACCTGTGCTAATATTATGCTATACTGGGCGTTCACTACTCATGTGGTATGCTTCTCTGAGAGCAAGCACAGCACCCGTCTGTGTGTCTGTAGCAACTAGCCCAGTACTGCAACAGTGCCTCCTATAAATGTGTTTTCCTGAAAAACTTAAAACTCAAATTTTCTTTGGAAGAAAACCATTCCATATTTAACTTTACCTGTGCGACATTCATTGCAGATAAATTTTCCTCTGGGCATCTCATTTAATCCAAGGCACTCGAGATGGAAAGCTCCACAGCACTGAGCCTCACATAACAGCAGCTCACCCAGTTTCTCACAGTTCTGTTAAGAGAAAGAAAATAGATGTGTCTACAGAAAAAGGTTTTTTAAAATCTCAAGCAGAAGGCCCTCATGAAGGCAAAGATTAATAAACAGTTTTGCCAGAAACAAGAAATTGTGCCAATCATTCAGCCAATATTTAACTACTATCGTCTCTGTGCCAGGCACCCACAAGGTCCCTGGCTCTCATGGTTCTTATATTCTAAGGATAGAAAATACAAGTAAAAACTGAAACTGGAAAGATATCAGACAATGATAAGCATTAGGTAAAGAATTTAAATAGATACTTTGGACTAGGTTATTGGAAATGGCCTCCCAGACTGGCTCTGAATGATAAGTCAGCCTCGTGATGTGAAGGGAGAATCAGGAAGGCAGCAAATACAGAAAGTCCATTAACAGAAAAAAGCATGGCCTGTCTGAGACTAAAGTGGACTAAAGTGAACAAAAGTTAGAAGTGGTAGAAGATGAGCTACAAAAAAGGCAAAGGCCTGATTATGTGGCCTTTGGTACAGAGTTCCCGATTTTATTGGCATTACAAAGGTGTACCGTTAGAGAGTTTACCAAGGGAAGGCTAAAATCAGGTATTCATTTATAAATAGATCCCTCTGGCTGCTACATAGAAGATGAGTTTAAGAACAGAAAGGTGAGACTAGAAGCAAGGAAGATTACTGAAATGGTTCAAGCAAGAGATACTGGCTAGCTGGCCTTGGGTCACAATTGTTCTAAAAGGGCATCAATCATGGTTCAAACAGTCCTTGAGATACGAACCATCTCAGAGAGATCACCTTTCTGAGACAATCTCATCTAAGATAGGGTGTCACTTGTCATTTAAGAAAAGACCTTAGGAAATAAGGATCTAAATCTGTCACTTTAAAAACATTTTAAGATTTATGAAAATCCTGCAAATTCCCAACATCTGTTAGTTTTCATCTCTCTAATGTCTTGACTTGTTTCCCCACAGTGATTGGCAGAAAAACACCAAAAATTGAAGGAAAAAACAACTCTTTTTATGTAAGACAGGAAAGAGGAAAGGTGGCTAGGTAAATCTAGTATCTTCAAGGACCCAAAGAAATAGAACAGGTCTGGGCCATTTAACATCAAAGCTTAAACAAATGAGTAGGAGAACTTTGGGCAAAAAAGGCCAGAGGCATCCAGAGATTAAGAGAGGATCCCCATGATTTTAATCAATCTGTAGTCTGAGCTAGTCTCACATGTCTGACTCTCACATTATCCACTATTCACACACAAAAACTGACAAATGCCATAAATGTTGTATATTTGGTTTTGTATATTCAAAGTGCTAGTAACATTAGCTTTAATGTACAAAAATATTCACCATCACTGAAACAGAAAAACTTCAATTATAGTATATATGGAAAATATATTTTTCAAATTAACCAAATGTATAGACTAACCCTTTAATTAGGATGACCATCTTTCAAACTGAGACATTTGAGAGTGAAAAGAGGCACTATTAATAAATTTTACAAGGGCGACAGATTTAAATAAAGACTGAGCTAAACAAGCCAGGACCACAGATTAGGTCACCATATTTTATTCATTTTTTTGTTGACAATCTTTGTGGGCACAATAGTCTCTGAGGACTAACACTTCGTTTGGGAGCTGTTTTAAATATGATCAACCTTCTTGGATATATATGTACATTATACTTACCTTACACACACACACACACACACACACACACACACACACACACACAAATAATGTACATATAATAGTGAAAATCAATAGACAAAGAAACTGAGTTGAAATTATTTTGGCCATAATATATTCTAGGCCTGAGTTAATTTTATTTTTTTTTTTAGTTGTTGTTCCAGTTAGGAAACAAAAACGGTCTTCAACCTTTTATATGCCAGGTTTTAAGAATTTACAAAGGTAAATAAAAACCATAAAAAGAGAACATAACCAAATCATCCATTTAATTGACTCTACTCCCAAGTCACATAAAGGCTCTTAATAAAGCAGAGTCACACTTCACAGAAAGGCAACATAACATAGTGGTTTAGTTAAGACTCTAAACCCAGATTGCCTGGATTTAAGTCCTGGCTTCATTATTTAACATCTCTGTGCCTGTTTCCTCATCTATAAGATAGAAAAATAATGGAAATCTATGTTATGAGATTGTTATGAATATGACATGTAACATTTATAAAGTGATTGGAACACCTGACACACAATAAACACTGTATAAATGTTTATTAAATAGAAAAATATAGGTAGTAGGTTCTCTAAAGTTACTACTTTAAAGCCAAAAAAGGAAAAAAAAAATCTCGAAGCAGAAATTACCCTTGAAAAATTCCTTAGAAACCCAATCACATCATAAGAGGGACAGGAAAATGATCTTGACTGAACAACCACAGGCTCACCTCTCCCATCTCAGACCTGCTTCAGGATACCTACTCATAGTTAACAAGGGCCAGTGGCTCGCCAATACTAAATATTTCTCATCTTCTTTTTGTGGGGAGGGAGAACAGTAAGATCCATAAATAAAGCGAAGGGACTCCACTGGAATCATCCAAGAAAATTATTATTCTAACCATGATGGGACCATCAAGAAATGGAGGGGGCTTCTCTTAAAAGATAAGCATGCAATCAAAATGCAAGTGGGTAACATTTTCTACCTGACAAACATTCTCCTTGAGCGCAGCTCCTCCGCCTCGTTCACCCTGCAGTTTTTTAGACACTGGCATCCCGTGGTCGTTTTCTACACCCTCTTCAACAGTCTCCTTGGGGCTAGCAGCCGTCCTATGCGTCATCAGTTCTCCCTTGCAGAGAAAAAAATAATGTCCCACATCTGCATTATTGATGTCTCCTCCATCTGACCCCCTCCCTCTGGGCTGCTATTTGTCTAGCCATTAAGCACTTACAGATGTTCAGCCAATCACGCGGGCGGACTGCATGCAATGTTAGTTCTAACCCTGCTGTGATTGGGCGGGTAGTGGGCGCCTCATGCCCTGCCACTAACTGCTCTGAGGCTGTTCCACTGGAACTTTTTGAGCTGTTCCATTTTAAGGTTTCACTAAGGGAGAGAAAACATTCTTAAGTTTATTTGATTACTTATTTGTCCTTCCAAGATCAGTGTTTTCTAAATAATGCCCCTTTTGGGCATTCTATTCAAATTGTCCTGGAAAGAAACACTCTTTATCATAATGTGTAATGCTGGCCTGATTTGTTCTAATTCTCTTTTAACCTGAGTTGGAAAAGCCAGAGATAGCATCAATGACTACACTGATGCTCTGCAAGGAAATGGTTTTAAATCTGTCCATTTCCTAAGAGCTGATGTTTACAAACATTATTGTAAAATTAAGCAGTTGGTCTCAAGAAAAAAGCAAATGAGTGTTCCCCGTAATTGCAGCGGTCTTAATTTTTCTAAAGGGCAATATCCAATTCATTTGGATCATATGGTTACTTGATATTGTGCTCTTTGGTTTTTAGGAAAAGTTTACTTTCATGATGAAACAGTTATATATTTCTTCTGATACCTAGAACATAGGGTGTGATCTTTTAAAAAGGTCATACCCACAGAAGCCATATGTGACCTGATTAATTTTTACTAGGATCAGGCTCTCCTTTGTCTCCAGGATTCCTTATAGCCATTAGCAGTTTCATTAGAATACTATTCTTAAGTAGTCTCAAGGGAAAAAGGGATGTGGCCTCTGCCATAAAAAGTAGCTTTACTTTGGAAGGTCAAAAGATGAGGAACTGAGTAATACCTCTGAGCCTGGAGTTTCTTTTGATGAGTCTTCATTTCTCACTTTTTTACAATGCACCTTGGCTGTAGCATGCCTTTGTCGTTTTCGCTTTCTTGGTTTATCAAATATCTTGGCAGTGCCTATGACAGGAAACATATGTTATCTACTGGCTAATCATTCACACACATGTCCAAGAACTCCTATCCTCAACTAAAAGAATCTCACAGACATTCAGAATGTTAGAGTAAAAACTAACTGTAAGACTCATTTAATTCTCCAACTTTGTAGATGAGGAAAACAGGCAGAGAGTAAGAGACTTACCCATGACTATATAACTAGTTGGGGAAATAGCTACATATGTAGAAATTATGCCTCATACAGATTAAACAGTAAATGTATAGGTAGGTTATTAAACCAATTTCATTTTACATGGTTGAAATAAAAGAATTTTTAGTTCCTCAAAGGTCTTTAATATCCTATAGATGGGGAGAAAAATGCATTTACTAGTCAGACAAAGATACTAAAACCTGGCCTCCAAAAAGACAGTAAACTATATTACTATATAATTTAAGAACATCCAAAGCCGAAATCTATAAGATTTGGCTTACAGGAAGGGGAAAAAGACCTTCCCCAATACATTTAATAGCTTAAAAAATATTTATGCAGTGGTACAACCCTGAACATCCAACAATATAAAATGAATGCATGGTCTAATATGGCATATTTAGAATATGAATTTCCAGTTTCTTATTTTTCTATTATACATATTTCAACTCTTTGCTACAGAAACGTCAAGAGGAATCTAAAGAAATATTTCATAAAATTTTCTAAGAAAATCCGGCTAAGTATCAACATGAAGACTGAACTTTGGAAAACTGCCTGGTGCTCTTAAACTATCTGACGGAGATGGAGAGGCTCTGCTATCAAAGCTGCTGACAGCCCAAGTCTAAAGGAAGAGTTGTTATAACTTCAGAATAAAGGTTCAAAGTTCTCATAAGTTGAAATATTTAGATAAAATATACAAAAGACAAAGTGCAGGCTGTAGGTTTTACAAAAAACTTTTGTAAAAAAGTATAGAGTACGAAAGTATAGAGTAAGAGCTGATATTATTCCAAAAGTTCTTTTTAAGCACGCAAAGCAAATTAATGAACCTAAGGAATTATAATTGTGCACAAGGTTAAAATAAGCTAATATACTGCTAGACTTACTTGCTAGAAAACTTAATAATCATGGGTCACATTTTTAAAAATATGCATTTTGGACCACATGAAATATAATCAACCCGTGACACCCTTTGCTGGCTGATCACATCTGATACAGTGGGCTCAAATCTGGGCTAATATCTCAGGAATGACAGTAAGCAAATGGCACTGGCAGATAAAAAATTAGTAAAAAGAATTGGCACAGAGAAAATCTAGGATGAATGGCAAGACAGTAGTGTGGTAATGAATTTGGTCAAGTCTGGATTTAGTTCCCCAATACTGCCACCTCATTCATGTTCATGTTTCTTCTATAAAATAGAGATAATATGGATAAATCTTAACCCTCTGTAATTCCTTAGATGGATTAGCGGTAACAGTTCTATACAAAGGACCTGGTAGAGTAAATGCTCAAATTATGATTAGTATATCCATTATTGAATGAAGGAAGGGCTACCCATTTCTCATGTGGGCTGAACCAAAATCATTGCCAAGTAAAAGTTCTAGGGGCCAGCTTCCAATTTGATCTTAAAGATTTCCAAGCCCTTAAGAAGCAACCACAATGGACTAGGCTCATAGGTAAACTCTCTTTTTCAAACATATAATCACTGACCAAAGGTCATAGATGTGATAAAAGAACCTAAAACTCTTTGTGAAAGACTGGCTTAGATGATTTGTAATTTCCCTCTCAACTCAGAATCTCCATACTCTGGAGAATTCTCTAAAAAGAAAATTAAGTAGCTGATTTTTCTGTATTGTTCCTATCATTTCCATACTCTAATATAATTCTAATTCCATTTAACTTATTTCATCATAAAAGCTGAAAACGATGATATGATTTTCTAGTGTCTCACAAAGTTTCAGGAAGCATTACTTTGGGCAAACAAGTCTTAGAATTTGCAACCCACTAGCCTTGCTTACATATGTTAACAATTTTTCTAGTTAACTGACAAGGTGCTTCACACTTATTTTGCATTACATTTCTTAAATTTCACAAATACTCACCTCCACCAAATGCTTTAGAATGAGATACAGCACATGATTCAGTAATGCCATTCTCCAAGTGACCAGTTTCATAACACTACAAATAAGTAAAATGCAACATGGTTTACAGAGAAATAGAAAATAAACCCTTTACGCTATATGCTAAAAGCTGAACTGTCTATTGCCAAAGACACAGAATCCTGGCTGTTTTTTGACAACCAAAAGAACAGCATGATAACAGTTAACGGTTCAACAGAAACTTCATAGGAAAAGACATCAGATTTTTAAAAAATGCTCCAAAAGACTCACCACATATTAATTTAAAAAAATAAAAGCTTACCCAGAGACTTCCAATATATAAAGCAGATACAGAAATGCAGCTCTGACCAAAGTAGGAAGAGAAAGAGAAAGGGTATATACCCAAAGACTCATCTCAGTTCTATTCCTCACCACCCTGTATTTAAAATCTACCTTCTTAAAATTGCATTTATAGCTATTAGATTTTATACGGACTTATCTACTTGATGAATTCTAAATAATAAAAAAATCTGAATCATGGAGTGTCTTTCTAATTAATATAAATTGAAGCAACATTAAAATTAAAAAAAAAAAAAAACACTTAAAGATATCGAGAGTAATTCCCAATGCATTTTATTTCTGTACTACTAATGCTCATATGAATTAGTTCCATTCAAAGAAAATGTCTTTTCCCACAAAAATATCCATAACTGTAAAACAAAATTCAGTGGCTACAAAAAGTCAATATAATAGATGCTATTCTTGTTATAAAGTTCCCAAAATTTCAGATCAAAACAAGATAAAATACAGTTATGAATTTCCAAATGCTCACTATATACATTAATAAATCATAAGAATACAACTCCCCTCATGGCCAATGTAGACCAAAATCTAACCAAGTCAAATAAATAGAAGGAACAAATGTTAGGTATCCAATGAAATGGAACCAAAGACCAGGAGACAAATAATTTGTATAATTTAAAAACTACCATCTATATTATTTAGGTAACAAATTTATAGTTCACTGTTTAACTTACCTAAAAGTTGTAGAGCAAAAATAATTAAAATGTTCCTAAACCTATGTTCAGAGAACAATGCAGGAAATATTCTAATTTCCAACTTCATCAACTTATTTTTAAGTTAAAATGGATATAACAGCACCAAAAACACATACTATATGAATAAAAATCTATCTGTTCTTAGAATGAAAAATACCCCGGAACTCTTGTTTAAATGCCTTACAACAGCAGTGGTCCCCAGCCGTTTTGGCACCAGGGACTGGTGTTCCTATGAGAATCTAATGCCTGATGATCTGAGGTGGAGTGAGGCGGTGATGCTAGCGCTGGGGAGAAGCTGCAAATACAGGTGAAGCTTTGCTTGCTTGCTCACTGCTCAACTCCTGCTGTGCGGCCTAGTTCTTAACAAGCCTGTGGCCCAGTAACTTTCTTTACTTTATACCATCACCTCGACAGATAATCTCTCTTCCTCCAACCCACTGACTGATCCATCTACAGACAGGGTAGTCCATGGTGTAGTCCCAAAATGGAATTGAATCACAGCTTTAATTGATGACAAAATTTGCCTCAAAGTAACTAGGACCCTAACTATGAAGCTGACCAAGTCAGATAGCAGGATGGACTCCTAAAACAGAAAAAAAGGTCGCTCTCTCCAGTGTGTCTGGTTCTAGCCATCACCAATAATCCTGGTTTTCTTTAGTTGTAGTGCCCAATTCCCTACCAAAAAAGCTAAAATTTAACAGAGAGCTATTAATTATATCTAATCCTTAAATAAAATCCAGAATAAAACTCTTAAAAGGAAACACAAGAACATCTGTCCTTGGGGTAGGCAAAGAATTCTTGAAATAAATACAGCAAAGCATTAATCATAAAAAAAGACATTAAAAATTTCTTCTCATGAAAGACAACAAAGAGAACAGGCAAGCCTCAGAACGGGAAAAAATATTTACAGTACACGTACCTGACAAAGGACTTATATCTCAAATATAAAAAGTACTCCTAAAAAGCAACCATAAAAAAGACAAATAGCTCAACCAAAAATTTAAGTATGCTTGAAGAGTCACTTTCAAAAAAAAAACAGGAATGGCACATACTAAGGTGCTCAACATCATTAATCATTAGAGAAATACAAATAAAAACCATAGTTACATATCATTTCATTGAGTCATTCCACCAGAATGACTTGATATAAACTAACTGACAAACTAAATGCTAGTAAAGATGTTGAGAAGATAGAACTCTCACAGACTGCTGGCAGGAGTGTGAAGTTGTACAACAACTTTAGAGAAATGTATAGCAGCTTATTTAAAAGGTAAACATGCATGAGCCAGCATCCCACTCCTAAGTATTTATACCAAGAGAAATGAAAATATTTGTCCATGAAAAGACTCAGAGAGAATATTTTCATCAGCTTTATCAGCTTTATGATGAATAGCCCAAACATGAAAAACTTCAAATGCATATCAACAGGAAAAAGAATAAAGCAAATTGTACTTGGAATACACTTAGCAATAAAAGGGAATGAACTGACTAGCATTCCGTGGATGGATCTCAAAAATACATGTTGAATAAAAGAAGCCAGATTAACAAAAACAATATATATGACATTTGAGAACAAGCAAAACTAATCTACAGTGACAAAAGTAAGAAAGCACTGCCTGTGGAAAAGATGAGAATGGGTAACTGAGTGAAAAAAGACCAAGAGAACTTTCAGGGGTGATGGATATAAAGCATACCTATAGTTTGGGAGGTACTTACATGATATACACAACTGTCTAGAGCAGAGGTTCCAAACCCCCAGACTGTGGACTGGTACCAGTCTGTGGCCAGTTCCTGTAAGGAACCGGGCTGCACAGCAGGAAGCGAGCAGTGGGTAAGCCAGCAAAGCTTCATCTGTATTTGTAGCCACTCCCTGCTCTAGCATCGGCCCTCAGATCATCAGGCATTAGATTCTAGACCGCTGGTCTAGAGCCATCACACAGAACAATTAAGATCTATGTATTTTATTGGTGTAAATAATACCTCAGTTAAAAAAAAAAAAAAAGAGTTCTGGGATACATTTGCCTACATAAATTAAGTATATAAACTAAATCATGCTTTTTATCCCTTCAGGAAAAAAATTAACCCTCAAACAGGACAAGCCTCTACATTTTAGATTAGGAAAAAAAACTACATTTGACAGAGCAAGATTATACAAATTAACACTATTTTTTAAGTAACCAAGTCTCAAAACCATTGAAGATTCATTTTATTCCTTTAAGTCATTCACTTATGTATATTATATCTCAATAAACTTGGGGAGAATCATTCAACTGGCCCAAATTCTTACTTTCTTTGAAATTTGTTATTACCTCACCTCTAACAGTAACGCAACAGCCTTCCATGACTCACCTTGTATGATACTACTAAATTTATTATCTGATTGCCAATGTCACTTCCATGCTCAAAATATTCAACTGAATTCCAGTTTCCCTGGCCCTTCCCTTCTACCTCTTCCAACAATCTTGCAAAATGGCTAAGATTTGAATAAGACAAAGCCAGGAGAGAAGGAACTGCAGAAGGAGATTATCATAGCCTTACTAGGGTATAAAAACTGCAGAGAAAGTTCAGAAGGCAGGAGGTGAGCCTAAGAATAATTGAAAAGTCCACGTCATTAGACTGCTTTGAGAAGAACAGAATTAAAGGATATAATGCTGTTTTTAAAACAAGGAATCCAAACACAAATAAATTAAAATTTACATTTACACTCTAATCCAGAGGAGTGAATATCTAACAAAACAAAACCTAGAGGCCTTTAATGTAGGATTAAAAAATAGGAGTTTGCTACAGCTAAGGAAAGAAGTCCAAAAACTTGATGAATTATTTGTGATTTGATTACAATTTGCATTTTTCTTTAAAGAAAAAAAATTTTTAATAGGAAATCTATGCATCCTACAATTGAAATTCTAACATTTACCCTAAGTTACTCCTCATACATGAGATGAGATGTTTTCCTAAGGAATCAATATTCAGCTGTTATCCATTATAGAATTAAAAAACAATTTTCTATTTCCATCTACTATTTAATGATGCCTTCCTTGGATAATGAAAACCAACTCTGCAAACTCAAAAATTTAAGTTTAAATGTTTCTGCCTGGATTATAGATGAGCTAGGTCTTTTCTGAGGTATTATACAGACAGGGCAATGAGATATGAGTCAGTCAGTGGCTTGTAGAAACAGAAGTGAAGTAGACATCAGGTAACAGGTTTTGAGCCCAGAAAATAAATTATAACAAACACAAACTTTACTCCATCGTAAAAGTGATTTTTCATTTTCATTTGAAAGAAACCTAAAACCAAATGATCTGCATGTCCACAAAAATGCAAAACAGCCCTTAATACAAGATCTCTCAGACTGACCAAGTATATGATGGCATTCTGTAATTTCTTTGTTTTTGTGCATCGTTTGAATTGACTAAAATAACATACCTTTTTAGAAAAGCCAAGATCCCCTTTCTTGGGCATAAATCCAGGGTCTAAATCATTTGATTCAAGAAGTTTCTTAGTTGGTTTTCTCTGACGTTTACTTTCATAATTTCCTGAAACACACGTTATCTTCTCATTAGATTATTTAGAAACTGGGCACAAGCTAATTTTAAAAAAATCTATATACCACACAAAAATGAATCACTGTATTTTTTTTTTTATGTTTTTCTCATCATCTTATGAGGAAGGACAGCATAGGGATTTACTCCAAATTGTTAGTTAACATAAAACAAGAAAATAATTCTCAATAGAGACAAACTAATATAAGGATGTGTGTGTGTGTGTGTGTGTGTGTGTGTGTGTGTGTGTGTGTGTGTAAATCACCAAAGAACTAAGAGAGAAATCAAAAGGGCAGAACGGCCTTTATAGAAATTCATTGGTTCTAAGGACAAAAGGAGAAGTAAGGTGAAGTAGAGCCTGAATTCTGGGTATAAATGGGCCAGGATTAGAATTTCTGTTCTGCTCCTCAATAAATGAAAGACATTTATTTACTTTGTAGTATTGCTCTTAAAATTATATAAAAGAGCCTAATAACAGAGTTGGGCACATAATAAGTAATGAGATTATAACTATCTTTATCATTCTATTTAAAGTCTTTTTGAGTCTGCCTTACTTGATTAAACACAACTGGGATACTTTTTTTAAAAGAAATAACATCACAAGGTATTCTTGGGAATATAAAAAATTATAGCCGAAATTTTCCTAGGCTGATTAAAATATTCTGTAGTCAGAAGATGAATTAGAGACAGTATGTTTAGATCCAACTCTCATTAGGTGGCATGGATACAAAGAATGACAAAGTGAAAAGTAATTGTTAATTCATTTCAAGAAATATCTGCATTTAGCTTCTTACTATGTGTCAGTCAGGTAAATTACACTGAGGAAATTATACACAAGGAAATATGTTCAGAAGTTAAACAATTTCCCAGGTAACACAAGGATCAGTGCAGCCAGTATAGGAAGCATGAGTTTCATGTGCTTATTATTCTATTCCATTGCATGCAGTACCCTTTCTGAAATCCCTGTAATCCTGGTGTCGATTCATACAGTGAAGGGCAACAATAGAGTCAGGAGAAAATTTTTAAAAAATATGTCTTAACAGTGTCCCACCAATTTATGGTCAGTAAATACATTTATTTGCCAGCATTTCTCAGGCCGAAAGTAGGTAGTTTATTATATAGAGATACACTACTGGCTTTCCATGAAAACATACTAAAATCTCCTGCTTCCTCTAATCATATCCACTCACTTACTGAAAATCATATCCAATCACTCACTTACCTGTTGTTTTAACTAGCAGTTCCTCAGACTCAAGGGCAGGCCGTGGAGAGACTTCAAGAGCCACCGGCACAGACAAGGTCAGCTGTGGCAACTCAGCATGTCCACCTCCAAGTTCTGACTGAGACAAGGGCCCTTCCAAAAATGGAGCCTCCCTTTCAAGAACTGGAGGCTCTTCTTTGGTTGAAATCAAAGAATTCTCATCCGCCTGCTTGTTTTGAGCATTAGATCGACTTCGTGCTAAAAGGTTTTCCTCTTCACAGCGGGAACTTACCTAAGAGCAAGAAATAAAAAAAAATCCATAGGCCAAAGTTGTAATTTGAGTGTCAAAAAGAATAATGCACTTTAAAAAAAATGAAATTGTGACACATGCTGAACCCTGAAGACTTTGCTAAGTGGAATAAGATAGTTAAGGAATAAATACTGTACGATTCCACTTATATGAAGTACTTAGAATAGTAAAATTCATACAGACAGAAAATAGGATAGTGGTTGTCAGGGGTTGGGGGGAGGGGTAAATAGGAAGTTTTTACAAATAGAAATTTAAAATAGACCATGAAAAAGTTCTGAAGATGATTAATGGTGCTGACAATTGCAAAATCATGTGAATATACTTAATGCCACAGAACTGTACACTTAAAAATGGTTAAAATTATAAATTTTATGTTATACAGTAGTCACCCCTTATCAACGAGGGCTATGATCCAAGACACCCAGTGGATGCTTGAAACCCTGGATAATACTGAACCCTATATATACCATTTTTTCCTATACATATAAAAGTATGATAAAGTTTAATTTATAAATTAGATATAGTAAGAGATTAACAATAACTAATAATAAAAATAATTATAATATATTATAATAAAAGTTAAGTGAATGTGGTTTCTCTCAAAATATCTTATTGTACTGTACTCACCCTTCTTCTTGAGATGATGTGAGATGATAAAATACCAAACCTATTCCTGATTCCCTTACTTGCAGTAAATGGCCTGTATCATTCATTTCAGGGGATCCCTTGCTGAAGTCTTTGTACAGGCTAAATGCTTTCTGGTGTAACACATTGCCATCAATTGAACACATTTTCTGTTCATGTCTTCCACCCACAAATTTGATGCCTTTTCCATCTTAACTAAGCACTCATTATGCATCATGGCCATAACTTCTGCATGAGGTGCAACAGCAACATGAATTTCTTTTTCCTTCTTTACAATTTCAAAGATAAAAGATTCATTGTTACCATAGATCTTAGTAACCCCAGCATGACTTTCTTCCACCTTGAGTACTTTTACCTTTTCACTTAAAGGAAGCACTTTACTGCTTCTCTTTGGCATATATGAACTGCCAGCATCACTACTCTTGCACTTTGTAATCATTATTAAATAAATTAAAGGTGATGTGAACACAAGCAATGCAATACCGCGACAGCTGATCTGATAACCAAGTGGGCTACTAAGGGATTAAGGGTGAGTATCGTGTACAGAGTGGATACGCTGGACAAAAAATAAATCAGTCACATTCCGAAAAAGACTAAACAGGATGGCATGAGATTTCATTACACTACTCAGAACAGCACCCGATTTAAAATTTATGAATTGTTTTTTCTGAAATTTTCCATTTAAATCTTCTGATCATGGGTAACTGAAACCGCAGAAATAGGGGACTACTTTATGTATTTTACTTTTAATTTTTTAAAAAGGGGAGAAAAAGCAGTTGATTGAGATACACTGATGCTATAAAAATTCATTTAAGGCCATAGTGATAATCCAAAAAAAGAAAGAAAGAAAAAAACCCTTAATGTCACCAATTAAAGCAGCTAATAATGAACTCCTCCTAATGTTAAGTTGGTAAATAAAAGGGAAAGAAGTAAGCAAATATTCCACCTTTCATGTATTTCAGGTCAATAAAAGGGTTCAGTTAAGACTGTCAGCTAATAAAAATAGAAGAAATAATAAAATATAAATTAAGTCTATTTTATAATTCCTAATGAAATTTGATGTAGGCAAGGATCTTCAATTGATATTTTTAAAAGCCATCAGAGAAATGGCTGATGGGGAACAGGACATTCTTTGAGCCAAAGTAATTACTCACATACTACTTCTTGATCAAAAGAGGTAAAACATAGCTTAAAAGAGAGGAATCAGTCACCACTGTGAACAACTGATGTTAAATACTTTCTAATATCATGCAATATGGCGCAGTAACACCTATGATGTAATCTACCTTAAAATGTTTAACTTTATCAGATTATCAGTTATAACTCTCAAAGGGAAATAGAGAATAGAGAAACAAGCTTAGTGACACCTATTAGGAAGCAAGCACACACATCAAGATTAGAAAGTGGATGATCCAAATCTGTTACTCACATTGCTTAGATAAATAAGGTCATGAAAAAAGTGACTTTTCAGGATTTGAAGTTTTAAAAAAATACAACAACAAGATACAATGTGTAGTCCTAGACTGGATTTGCATACACCAAACGTAAAGGTTAGGGGACAGTTGAAGAAATCTGAATATGGAATGGTTATTAGTTAAACTGATCTTATTAGATGTGATAATATTAAATCAGTTATGAAGAAAAATGGTCTATTTTATAGAGGTGCATGTTATTTAGGGGTAGAAGGTCAAAATGTTTCTAATTTACTTTCAAATACTTCGATTTAAAGAAGCTGAATTTAAAAATTAAGCAAATAAGGTATCATAATTTTTTTAAAATTAGAATCATACTACATTACAAAACATTTTATCATAACAATATTCCTATATCGCTCCATACACTTTGAAAACAAAGGGGGAAATACACACACACACAGAGTACAAAGACTCATTTATACGCTTCCTGTTTAACTAGCATATGCTAAGTACTGTGCCAGAAGCTAGAGGTAAAAAACTGAAAAAGATCTTAGTTAAGTAAATTATTGTCCCTTAAAGACAAAATATGATATTGAAGGTAAAACTGCAGCATGCTAAAAGGACTAATAAAAGATTAGAACATACCTTGTGCACTTGTTCCTGTACTTTCTTCTGTTTTTTCTTAGGAGCAAATATCTGATCATATTCTTCAGTATATTCCAGAAGCCACTTGCTTGGCTTCCTAAGGCGTTTCTTCTCTGACCTCACAGCTAAAAGAGAAGAAACAAGTTCAGCATTAACTAAAAAGTTAGAGGAAAACCCACTGTTTTCATGCAGACATCGCTGCACTCCCAAAGGTACAGAGATGGGAAACTCTCAAAACATCTGGCTTAAGCTCCAAGAGACTAAAAATGCTATGGTTTATCATATAAAAAGTTGGAGTGGGGGGAGGAGAGGTTGGTGCTCTATAGATTCAGACAGGCCATCTGATCTTACAGAAAAGATTAAATTGAAACTAGTGTCCTACATTGACAGATAAAGCTAACATTAGAATACAGATTCTAAATCAAGTAAATTCGTAAAATACCTCTTGAATTATTTTAAATAACATCTGTCTGGAATATGCAGAATATTAGATGGGTGTTCAGACTACCACATGAATTTCAAAAGCACTCTGCACACTTCCTATCATGGTTGGTTGCAGTGAGTTTCACATTAAAAAACAAATATTTCTAAAAAGAAGTACCAAGATACGGAATTATATTATACACCACAATCAAGTGGGCTTCATCCCAGAGGCACAGGAATGGTTCAACATACACAAATAAATTAATGTGACACACCACAAAAATTAAAAAATAAGAATCGTATCATATCAATAGATGCAGGAAAAGCCTTCAACAAGATACAGCATCCATTTATGATCAAAACACTTAACAAAATCGGTATAGAAGGAAAGTACTTTAACATAATAAAGGCCATCTATGACAAACCCTCAGCCAACATTATATTTAATGGTGAAAAACTAAAAATCTTTCCTCTAAGATCAGGAACAGAGCAAGGCTGTCCACTATTGCCACTGTTATTTAATTTAACATTGGAGGTCCCAGCAAGTGCAATCAGACAAAAGAAAGATATAAAAGGCATCCAAATAGGAAACGAAAAAGTCAAACTGTCACTATTTGCAGATGACATGATTCTCTACATAGAAAACCCTAAAGACTCCCCAAGAACACTACTAGAAACAATAAGCAAATACAGTAAAGTCTCTGGATACAAAATCAATGTTCAAAAATCCATAGCTTTCCTATACTCTAATAATGAAGTGTCAGAAAAAGAAGTGGAAAAAATAATTCCTTTTGCAATTGCAACAAAAAGAATAAAATACCTAGGAATAAATTTAACGAAACAAGA